CGGTGTTTGACTTTTTTCCAGTAGACTTCGTTTGTAGTCTACTAAATACGCGAAAAACCGTCGATATCCAGTAGACTCTATCAGAAGTCTGCTGAAATATTTTTCCTGGTCAATGTTTGAGATTTTGGTCAAACGTAAAACTAACCCGTCCGTACATAACAGACTTCAGATTGCGTCTGCTCCAAAAGTCAACAATTTGGTCAATGCCAAAAATAACCTCGGAGTCTATTTGCAGTCTCCAGTCAGCGTCTCCACCAGAAGTCTGCTCTATAAAGTCAAAGTTCTGGTCAATTGCAAAACTAACCCATTTTCAAATAGACTTCATGTGAAGTCTACGAGTGTTTTTTTTTTAAATAGTCAATTGCAAATCTAACATTTCGTTGACTAGCAGACTTTTTATGCAGTCTACTATTGCGAACCAGATCGAAAAACACAGTTTTCAGCTCTGTTTCCGCCGTAGAGTTTGGTTTTTAGCTCCTTCAAGTACCTGGAACTTCTAATCTGACCGTTAACAAAGAAGTCCAACCGTCGTTTATGCAAGAACCATTGAAAATCGATAAATTATGATAGAAAGAATTTTGAAAACTAAATTTAGATAGTTTTTTGGATGAAATTGGAGAGAAAATGGGTGAGGAAGAAGTTATGAGCTCACAAATAAAGCTCTTATCCACGAAAAATCAGTTGAGAAAGCATTTAGAGCTTGATTTTGGTTGTTCATTGTGGTTGGAAATATTGATGATAATGACATTTTCGTAAATATGTTGATATATTTGGGTATTTATTTGGGTGTTTTGATTGTCTGATTTTTGTTTTTTCTAAATAATTGAAATATAATGATATTTCTGTAAATAAGTTGAATTCTATGGTTGGTTTGAAAAAATTGGTGAGAGAGAAAGATGGGTATATAATTGCAATTGACCACAATATTAGGGTTATTTCAATAAGCCTCCCAAAATAAATTAATAGCAACAATATTTTTTTTTTAACTAATACAATTGTTGTCCAAAAAAGATCGACCCGACCCGTATTGAGTACTTAAGCCCGCAGAAGAACTATATTACGCTTTTGGTGTTGTTTTGTTGAGTTTGGTTTTGGAGTTTTTGGTATTTGATTGATGCTTCTTTAAAGCTTGTTCTCCTTTCCTACGTTCTTCTGACTCAACCATCTCCTTCAGCTTCTCCAGAACTGAAATAAATAAAAAAACCAAATCAAATTCAGAGATAATCAAATAGCCTTAAATCCCTATGCATTTGATAGACTTCCATAAAATGCATAGGGAAGCAATCTTGGCTGCGTTTGTGATTGAGTGCTACGACACCCATTTAGGGTTATTGATTTTGAGGTTGAAAGGCTAAACCTTTAGAAACCCTAAAGAGATTTGGAAATCAACGAAAGGAAAATCATAAGAACCTTAAACTTGAAATTAGGGTTCATAAAAAAAAAAAAAAAGGAATTGAGAGTAAGAGAGATGAATGATTTTTTTGTTTGCTTTTCCTTTTAAATTTTGACTCTCCAAAAAATTCTACATCCTCGAAGATTCTTTTTCTTACATGTAACACGAGTTAAAAAAAAATTCATGTTTTCTCAACGACTAGTGATTATAATTATTATTGTTTTTCTTAATGTAATTCGTAATACAGTATGTGAATAATATCGTAATTTAGAGCCATTTTTTGGAAAAAATCCCTAAAAAACTTAAAAGAATTCCTCTTCTATTAGACCCGGGCAAAAAAACCAAATTGAACCCGTTCGAGATTACCTGAGCAGAACCGAACCCCATTTTCTAAATTTTCTCAACATCT